TTGGGGATGTCGTGCCCGGCATTATTGCACGTCAGATCTCCACGTCGTACCGAAAGATCGTGTGGTCTGACTTATTCTAACTCCATGTTTCAATAACATTTTTCGCGCGTCCTTGTTGGTGGTTGAACAGGTCCGTGCTTCATTTCCGTTGGATGCATCCATCCACGAGATACGACGACCCCGGGGTACGAGACATCAGACGGACGAACAGCGCGCGCGACTTCTCCCCTGTATTTCTCTACCCAGTTGCGCAGGGAGGTGCACGGGGGGGATTATTTTTCAGCCGCGCTGTGTGTCCGTTGTTTATTGGCATAGTATTTTGTTAGTCGCAAACTGCCTGAAAGGTACGGGGGTGCTGTGTGCGTTCCGGGCCTGTCTGTGTCGTTTGTACTGGCTGTAAATAAGGTGTTTGTTGTTTCCTTCAGATCGGGCATGATGTTGATAGGTGTGGGCAACCCGGGGGGGGCAGTCTTGTGTGCGGGGTTCGTGTGTAAGTATTTCCTCGCGTTTTCGACACACCCAATGCTCAGTGCGTACAATGTATTTGTATGCTTTGAGACAAAACACTTCAACAATTACATCTAAATATAGTCTAGTGTGTACATATTGCCGGCCGTGCCTGTCTGCGTGCGACGTCAGATAGCACAAGGTCATCAGTGATCAAGTTCCCCGTTATTGGAGCTGCCGTGATACTGTCGCTACTCCATCCTCTCATAGTTTTTTTCCCCGGGATTCTGGAGAGTTGTACTGCTGGGTGAGGGCCCCGAGTCAACAGGCACAAGTGTGTGCGGTGCAACACCGCAGCAGGAGAGGGGGGTACCCCAAAAGCAATTTCGGTTCAAATGTAGCTGACGCCATTCAACAGTACTCCACGTGTAGTACGTCTTGCAGCACAATTCCAAGTGCTGTACAACCGCAAGATCAGCAGCTAACATTACCAATGCTCGGTGTTGCCGGCGGCGTGGTAGAAAATAAGCATGGTGCCTGTATGTAAATGCAAGTTTTCAACTTCATCTGTGTCTATCTCGTGATTCCCGCGATCAGTCAAGTTCAACTCTTCTGAAATTTACTCTATGGTACTCAGTCCATCTTCCCTCAAATTTTTGTGGCGATTGATGCTGTAGTGGGCGCGTTCTTGTGCTTGGTCGCTTTGGCGGGTGCACAGCAGGGTGGTTGCGCCGCGTANTGTAAGCCTTTAGCCTTCGGTGGATGTACGCCAGTCGCGCTGCTAATCTGTGTAAAACGATATTTTTTGTTCCTCCGCTTACTTTTTTTTTTTTCTGTCGTGCAGCACTGGTAGGTGCCTACAACATACCCGTGCGGCACAGAATGATACACGGAACCCCGATGTTATCATGACAGGAGGGCACGGGGATTGCAATCCCATACACCCAACAACGACGGATATACGGTCCCTAGCACCGTGTAGGAGAGGATCCTGAGTTTGGCGGTCGGGAGTTACCGCGGTCACGAGATCGAGGTAGGTCGTGATAAGCCAACTTGGAGACAGCTGCCGATGGGTTTGAACCCAAATGCCCCGGTTTGGACACCGGGGCAAGGCAGCGGTGGAGAGCACGGAGAGGGTGGCGGGATGATCGCACACCGTGTGGGTAAGCACCCAACAGGGGGACGGAAAGGGTCCAGAGCTGGAGAGCCACGCCGCTCCGGGACAGGAAGACACCTCGCTGGGAAAGGCAAGCACCGGGTTAACTCTTACATTAACCCGAGGATCCGCAGAGCAATAAAAATAAAGAAAATAAAAAAAGGAAGGAAGAAGAGGAGGAGGGGCCGGAAGGTGCGTAGGCTGATTAGGGATGCAGCACGCACCGCCCGGCAGAGGCGGCAGGGTCGACTTGTTAGGGTAGCAACCTACAATGTGCGTACACTGGCCGTGAACGGGGCCAACGGCTATGGGAGAGCCGACAGCGTCTTACACGAGGCAGCGAAACAGGGCATTTCGTTTGTCGGTCTGCAGGAGGTCAGGAGACCAGGGCGAACGGAGTTCGCAGCATCCGGTTTTCGGGTGGTCACGTGTGGCACGGACAAGGGTGGTACGCATGGCGTCGGAATGGCTGCGAATCGTGACAACAGAGTGTATGATACGATGCACGAATTCTTATTGGTTGACTATACTACACAGTCCAGCGGGCATCTCTCGCGCATCTCGTGGGCACCTGTGTCGATTTTGCTCGAAAACAATACGTGGGGTGGACGAAAGGGGGAAGGAAGCACAAACGTGGCACATTTCATGGTCACGGCGCCATTTAGGCCGGAGTAAGTGGTCAACGGGGTACGTGGGTGCTTTTCGCCACACGCGGGCGGCTACAGAGCGCCTCGAATTCGCTCGTTTCTTTTGCGGCGATGGGTGGGGGTGGGTCAGGCGCACAAGCGTGGCGAGTTTCGAGGCCGAGAAAAAATGCTGGGACGAGAGCGGCAGCATAATGTATTGGTTGAATCTTCAAAGAGGCTTTAAAAATCACTAGATGCTCCAATTTCAAAAATTATTTTTTGGTAGTGTGTGTATGGGCTAGGGGCACACGTGTGCGAAGTGTTGGCATCAAAAATGATAATGGTGGCGGCTCATGGCTAAATCTTAATTTTGGCTTAAAAAATCAGGATCTTCTCGGATTAAATTTTCCTCGGCATATGTTATTGGGCTAGGTGAGGCGCACACTTGGATATTATGGTTGTGGCCAACGGATAATTTGGCGCCCGAAAAAGATACGCAGCGAAACTTGTAGCTACCGCAACCGCAATTCTAATTTCAAGTCATTTCCCGCGAGGTACACCCCGAACCTCTCAAAACATATTAATATTATTGGGCCGATGGGAGGGTGCCATGTCCAAAAAGTTTATATTTGGAGGGGTGGGGGAACCAAAGGCAATTTTTGGAGGGGGGGTGTGTTATGTTTACGTGTACGATTCAGGTTTGGCCTAGTGGCGATGTCGCAGAGACGCTCCAAAAATAAACTATTGGCGCACAGGAAGCTATCTACGTACCATAGGAGGGAAAAGCCGTCGATTATACGTGCTGCGGTGGCGCGTGGGGCTCGCACGGTCGATCTATGTTGTCTCAAATGCGCGCGCTGCCACCGCAGCGGCGTACACGCACGCGAACACGAATACACGCGCGGACACAGATACACACACCTTCGTTTTCCACAAAGGTCGCTAGGAACGCTGTCTGGGGCTCCTGTTGTCTGCTATTGGCTCCAATGCTTCGGGCGCGGTGTTTTGTCAACGTATGTTCGCGTACACAGAAGAGCAAGGAAAAGAGGTTTGGGGAAAATGTTCCGGTTCGGGTCCGGTTGCGGCGGAATATAGAAAAGTGGAGGTTCCGCGCCACCAGATGCTCCGATTGACCTCGGATTTTTTTAGATATGTGTGTATTGACCACGAGCACCCGCCAAAAATTGAAGTTTGGCATTTCGTTCACGGGACATTGTTATTTCGAATATTTGACGAAATATACAAAAATTCGAAACTGGGATTTCTCAGCGACACCGACGGTGACAAGTAAAAATGACATACTAAGGGAGCTCTCTGCTAGATCTTTGGAATTGTGCCGCGATGAAAGTCACCACCATCGCCCTTGTTGAAAATTCAAGATCAATACCTGGGGTATGGTATCTCACGTCACGTGGCGGACAAGTTTCAAATTTCAAGATATATCAAACGACCGCCATGCGATGCAAGGATGTTCTTTAGCCAACACTTTCCAGTTCGTGCCCGGTTTGCAGTCCTATCAAACCCGAAACTCACTTTAATGGCAGTTGTGTGTTCGCAAGATACCATGTTAAAACTCCAACTTTTCGGGGCCATTTCCTACCCTCGTGCATAAAAGCCCAAGTCTACCTCAGGCAGATGGTGCCTGGATGACCGACTCTATCGGATCGCGGTCGGCCAAGTTTGTGTCGATTGTTTCCTCTCCACCCGTCACCGGATCTGCCCCGGCCTCAGCTGCGTAGTACCGGAGCTCCGTGAGCAACTCCAACACCGAGAATATGAGCCAAATTACCCCCAATCGACCCCGAATCCCTCAAAGTCTCACCAGACTGTGAAAGCGCAAAAAACAGCCAGTCAACAACCCGCCTGCAGCCATGATCCCCGATCTAGGTGGCCGTGCCGGAACCAGGGAAGTGGTGCCAGTGGCGTTAGGAAAACAGACCACGGCCGAGCATACTGTAGGGGTGGTGGTCTACATATTCCCTGCGAATTCACACAACTTCAACAGACTCGACTTCGAGCGCACCACAACCCACAGAAAGTCATCCAATAATGGGCATATCATCGAAGGGCGACCGAACACCTCACGACCCAAATCAACCGAATTGTTGTCCAGTGGAGCAGCCCGCGAAGAAAGAAGAAACATATCTGGCCTCTGACACCAGCAACAGATTTCGAAGCCGCTAACAACTCGTATACACCAAGACGACGGCGAATTCTGGACAAAACTGTTTGGATTGGGAGGTAAATACGCTCCTGGGGTAGGGTGTACCACCACGTGTTTAACCCTACGAGGTTTGGGATGGACTCACAAGGAAGAACGTAAAGCTACGAGAAACCACGTCTGCGAAAATTGAAAGATCCCATACGTTGGTGCGTGACACCCCGGAATATAGACAAAAACGGCAACCCGATAGGAATATCCAGCGGCGCCGAGAGCAGTACCAAAACATCAGAAGTAAAAGGCGCTTGTTGAGTACATGGCCAGAATCACAAAGAAGACGGTTAACCTAGGCGGCGCATGCAAGGAAGCGTCCCCCAACACCCAACCTACATACAAACATTGTAGTATTGGCTATTTCTAGATGTGCTACATCCATCCGTTAAAAGTGCGACAGAGCAGGATTCCTTCCCCCTGTTCTACCCCCGCCATTTTTATTTACCAGTACAACGGATCAACTAATCACACAGTTGCAACCTGCAGCTGGTTCAGCTGGCATCCGCCTATTTGGGCTAGGGACGCTGCCGCTTGCCGGCGTTGTCATTGCTCTGGCACCCTTGACGTCACGTGACTTCCACTCCGACCTATGTTGAGGGCAGACCCACCTATATTGGGTGGCAAGAGGGTAATGTTCGGGACGTTACGCTCGAGATAGCAACGAAAAGTGCACTCAAACAGCAGCTGACACACAAAATGTTAAGAGTGACTGCAGCCTGCAACATGAGGCGGGACAGTACACAGTATTTGAGGTCGAAAAGGTAGAGCTCTGCACCTCAAAAAAATATATGTGTGTTGCTAACGCAAACGCAGAACGACACCAGTCACAAATGCCAACAAGTAATATACTCACCCAATGACGCCGTCTGCGGAGGGAGTCCGTTCCATTCCTCCCATCTGCCGATCCCACCCTTGACACTTGGTGTCCAAGAAGTTCAACACAGAACGGTATTCGGCACCGGTGACCTCCTTCACACGTCGGACGTTGGTGGGCACACCCACCTGGCCCTTGGTAGGGTCGAGGGTATCGCTGATGTTGTCAAGCATACGGTCCATCTCCTCGCCCCCAACGCCCGACAGAAACCGGTACGCCTCGTCCAGGTCGATCACCTCGAACGGCAGCGCCAACGAAGCGGCGATGGGTCCTAATGCTCCCCCCGAAGCGGCGGTTCCAGCCACAGCGGCAGCCGCAAGGATGGCCATCACAGTAACTTGCAAGAGCGTTGCGTGCCTTTTCATCCACTCCTGTTGCAATATGATGTCAGGGGGGATGCGTCAGCACTCTTGGTGGGAAAGTGCGTTGGAAGCGCTCTCTTGCAGTACGCAGAGCTAGCCTGGGAAAAGTACAACCTACACGGAACGGGCAGGATAACGGATGTAGCGTGTAATCGACCCGGCTACAGGATTGCCCAAGGGAGTCCCACTTGTGTTACTCCAATTCGCGTGGGCTCCCGCCAAGATGCAGGCCACCCGCAACATCTGGTACATCCCGTGAAAAGCCAGTCACCTTTGGTTGAGACACGAGGAAGCCCGCACCATCCTTTCCACAAGGCGCCAACTCTAACCCGTGGGCGCACACGAAGTGTAGTCTTCCCCTGTCGGCAAACCATTGCTTTGGCCGACGAAGCTTTCTCTGTTTCTCGGGAAGGACCAAGAATGTGTGCGGCATTCTCATCTCGTCCATCGCCAGATGCTCTAGCACGGTAGACATCGTTGCGACTCGGCGTCGGAAATCAAGTTGCTCTTGAAGTACGCGCCCGACATTGCCGGAAATGGTTCCTGTCCGCCTGAGCACCTCCTGCTGGTCCTCAGATATCACCACGAGCATTCGCTCGAGGGACTCCATCCCTCTCGTCTTGCTGACTGTCGAAACTAGCCCCTGGATCCCTCGCGTGAACGCCTCCAGCACTTCGCTTGCTGTCCCACGCTCGTCGACGCTCCTTTCGAGGGCCAGCCCGAGGGAGCACCGCCACGCCGATCCACGAACGCTTCTAAGATCGACACAGAAGTTGTCTGTGGTCAGGGTCTGCTGTGACTGCTCCCGGAACTGGGCGATGTAGCCGTCCGCTCCACCGGCGACGGGAAGTAGGGTGTGCCTCCTGTCGATAAGTAGTACAGCACCATCCCAAGCGACCACACGTCCTGACGAGAAAATGAGGGCAACACGCAGGACGATTCTGTTGTCATGTGCGCATTACGACGGGTGCGTATAGCGCTACATCGGGAGCGCGAAAACCATTCGGTAGTCAATCCTGTGGCGCTTTGGAGCACAACGTCAACGTTTCATGCATTCACTGGTGGAAGTCGGGTGCACATGATCGACTAAATTTTCTCTGAGGTCATGCATATTTATTTTTGCCAGCAATGAGTTTCGATTGAGCGGACCTATGCGACCGAGACACACCCGTCGCGAAACCTACGGTGGGCCATAGGCAAAATACAGAAAACAAATCGGAGAATTTGTCGAACGCTTCAGGCGGGAGATGACGGAGTGTCAACATGCGTACCTCGGCGTAATCAGTCACTACGAACTCGCTTGGCGGCGAAAATGGAAGAATCGTGTGAGAAGTTGACGATTGAGAAGGGACCAAAACTTCGCATTTCCATTAGTTCCACCTGCACGTTTCGCAACAAAACATACCTGACTACGTCGAGCAACGCAAGGGCTACCCAGCCGGTCGTTTCTCGCCCTCTCTGGAGCTGCATATTGAACCGACCAGGCAAACTGATCGCTCGGGCTCGACGTGAAGGACGTGTCAGCATCGGCTCCCAGCTCTCGCTGAGCAGTCGATCCGACCTCAACACAGGTCGATCCGAAGTCCACGGCAACTAGGCGGTCCCCTCGGAAGACGAAGTTGTCCGGCTTGACGTCGCCCCACACGACCCCAAGGCCGTGCAGAGCCACCAACACCTGGATTCATCCAACAAGCAAGGGGTCATGTGTTCCATAACATGAGTACGCCCTCAGTTGGAGGACGGCGCGAGTCATGGTTTATCTTTGCCGGAGAATAACGCATACTGTACCCCACCCCGCTCTCTCGGCACAAGAGCGGTGAGATAACGTTGCAGCCCCTTGGTGCCAACGCACCCACCTGGCAGGCTTGTTGTCCCCACAACGCAAGATGGGTCTTTCGCTCAGAGGACGGTAGCCGTTTAGATTCCTCCACCCGCACCGTGAGGTTCTGACCGCCTTGCTCCATGGCGATGAAGTTGTACTCAGGCGTGGTGTAGGCCTCCAGTAGTTGGACCACAAACCCCGCCGCTGCCCCCCCCGGTCTACTGAGATATTGAAGGACGCGGCTCTCTCGGAGATAAGCCGCCGGTTGGTCCTTGTCGGAGCGCTTTAAAACCACAGGTCTCGTTGCCGTTGACTCCGGTCCACCGATGAGCTGGTTGGCTGTGAAAACAGTGGCCATCCCGCCACAGTCACGCAGCTGCATGAGGTTCACGAAGCTGGCGCCGGCATTCGCCGTGGACGAAGGAACGTCGAAGACATCTGGTTTGGAGCGAAGAGTCTGCATCGCTTGAATGAACATTCTGGCCTCGTACCTGCCAAGCAGAAAGTATTGCACCGCAAACGAACATCCAACGAAAGAAACGGTTGTAGCTCTGTCTCCTCTCAAACAATCTTCACTGTCGGTGCCCCACGAGGAGAGCGTAGCGCTACCCCGTGATGAGAGTGGTGTCTCAAATGCATGTACGAGATTGGCGAGCGGCACACCCACTTGTTCATCTTGAGCTCGAGTGTCAGTTGCTGCTGCTCCGCCTCGTCTTGGACCTTCAGAGCCTGGGTGCTACTGAGCCCCAGCTCTTTGAGTTCCGCGCAGTAGCGGGACGCTTGGGTATCGTCGAAGTGCGCTTCCATTTTCAGCCACCGCCACACCTGCGTGTGTAAGGCTTGCTGCTGTCGGAGAGCACGTTGCTCCCGCGCAGCTACTTCCACACGTTGCCGCTCGGCCTCCGCCTCCGCCTCCCGAAGCTGCTTCTTGGTGATCTCTTCCTCCTCCCGGCGGCGCCTTTCCTCTGCTGCAGATTCGGCGCGCTGGCGAGCTTCAATCAGAGCAGCTTCCGATTGGGCGCGGCGACGGTCTTCGTCCTCCTGCACCCCACGTATATGCGAAAGGGTTATTTTCATCATGCAGCGGTCGCTTCAGCACCCCCAATCTCGTCAAGCTAAAAAAAAACGGGAACACTTCCCGAACGCGGCCCTGCTGTGAGCTTACATGATCCACGTTGGGGAAAGCAAGTAAAATACCGCATAGAACTCTCGACCAGCTATACAACTGTGTGGATGGCAAGCCTGGTGTAAACAAAGGAAAGGGGAAACCGAAATCACGGGAATGCTGTCGCTGTCGACTGCGATGAAGAGACAGACCACGTACATACACTCGCCATCGAGCGTTAAGCTGGTGCTACAGAATCACAACATAAACTACAAGTGCATCGTGCTACACACAAAGTGTGTGAGCATGGTGTACCTAACCACACCTTGCGGCTCCTTTGCCATGCTTCCATGACAAGAGAAGCTAGCAGCTCAGGCATCTCCACATCTCGAAGTACGGCTTCCAGGGTTCGTTGGTCCACCGCGAAGATCGCCTTTGGATTGTGAAGATGTCGAGTGCGGAGACTGGCGCCGAATACCGCCGAATTATGGTCGTCAAAGCCGAGATCTTGGTGTAACCAGCGGCCAACGTCCCCGGCTTTCCGCACCATCTCCTGCCTTTCGAGTTCCTTTACCCGTTGACGCTCCAATCTTGCGTGTTCCTCAGCGCGTTCCTGCTCAGCGCGTTCCTGTTCGGCGCGTTTCTTTTTGGTGATCTCCTTCTCCTCCCTGCGGCGCCTTTCCTCTGCTGCGGATTCGGCGCGCTGGCGTGCTTCAACAAGTGCTGTTGCTGCTTCGGCGTGGCGACGGTCTTCGTCCTCCTGCATCACACGAGTATACGGAATCGTCAGCCTCGAGTGTCGAAATGGTCATTTTCATCATGCAGCGGCTGCTCCAGCATCCCCAATCGCGTCAAGGCGTCAAAAGCAGGACAGCCTTGTGAACGCGCCCCTGCTGGACAGTCTTTCGTGACCCAGGGCGGCCAAAGCGTACGAAGTACCGCATAAAACTCGGCCCGCTGGACAACTGTATAGACACTTTTGCCTGGGTGAAGCAAAGGGGTAACCGGAGTCACGGAAATGGCGTCGCTATCAATTGCGATCCATAGATAAAACCTGCTCGACGTCGCGGCTTATGCAACAGTACCACAACATATTCTGCACGTGCATAGTTCTACACAGCGGTCAAATAGGTCCCATGTGCCTCGCATACCTTACGTCTTCTGCGCCATGCTTCCGTGAGAAGAGAAGCCAGTAGCTCAGGCATCTCCATTCTCCGAAGTACAGCCTCCAGGGTTTGCTGGTCCATTGCGGAGATCGCCTTCGGACTGTGAAGATGGCGAGCGCGGAGACTGGCGCCGAAAACCGCCGAATTGTCGTCGTCAAAGCCGAGATCTTGGTGTAACCAGCGGCCAACGTCTCCCCCTTTTCGCACCATCTCCTGCCTTTCGACTCCTTCGCCCGTTGACGTTGACGCTCCAATCTTGCGTGTTCCTCGGCGCGTTCCCGCTCGGCGCGTTCCTGCTCGGCCAACTTCGCCTGCATCCGGGTTATCCACGCCGAGACAGACTCGTTCGTGCCAGGTCCCCCTGCAATTGCGAGACGGGGGTTAAGTCGTCGTCGAACAAGGGGATATTGATCCAACAGGCTCCTACACGGTTCGCGTACTACGTCGGACAAAGACAACGAAATCGGACAGCGAGAGGTGTTGTCAGATTATCCTGCCTTCGGTACTGTTCTTACGCAAAGTGCTGGTCTGCCCAATTTATATACTAGTACTCCGCAGGCTTCTAGAAGGCTAGTCGCCAATCGCCAACGCCGCAGGCGGGACCGATGTTCTAGAACCCGGGGAATTTTTTTTGCTTTGCCCCGCTAAATTGTCTTGCTTTGACTCGCACATCTACAGGACACATCCCGTCGCAGCTAGGAGATCTTGGCGCCCTCAAGCACCTCTCCCTCTCCAACAAGTTAGATGGTGAGTTCAACAGATCAAAAATAGTTTTTTTTCTTTCGAGTTCTGACCATGCATGAATCCCGCGTACGCGTAGGCGAGTAGGTGTTCTAGAACAATCGAGCCTTGCTGGCATTCACCCGTAAACTTGTTGTGGGGACTCACCACTGAGCTTGTTGCCCCCAAGGCTGAGGCTTAGCAGTGCTGCGAGCTTTCCCAACTCCGGCGGAATGAGACCTGCGGCGACCAAGCACACACAAAGTCAGCGGGGGAAAAAACAATATTCTCCCGCCTTGAAGATGTATCCAACGCGTGGGTGGGACAAGATCTCCGGAGATCCATAGTCTAGAAAGAAGACAGCCGGGTAGTTCATTGTCATTCCCCGCTAAATAATTCGTGTTGCTCTTCTGCTTGCAGGCCCCATTCCTCAGGAGCTGGGAACTCTCGCAGCGCTGCAGGGCCTCGACCTTTCGTTCAACCAGCTGAGCGGTGAGTTACTTTTCATATTACAGATTTCTGGATGAATCCTGCCGATGCATCGGCGGGATTCATCCGTGGAATCAAGCCGATAAAAATATTTTATGCACTCAAATCTGCCACTGAGGACTCACCGCTGAGCTTGTTACGGTTTAGACGGAGACTCTGCAGGTTGCTGAGCTGTCCTAGCGACGCCGGGATTTCACCTGCATAGTATTTGGGGAATGGAAGGGAAGTTGATACGTTTCGATTTTGGAAAATGTATTGTCGATCTCCGTAGATCTTGTCCCACCCACGCGTTGGCGTCCATGCACGTTTCTACAAGCCGAAGCTTTTGCAATGCGCTCAGGGCTCCGAGTTCCTTGGGTATGGGCCCTGCACATGAGAGCCACACAGAAAAAAGCAAAACATCGACATGCGTTTTTGGTCATCCAGCACCTAGAACATTGGTCCCGCCGACTGGGTGGGATTTAAGCATGATATTTCTACAGAATTCGACAAAGAGGCACGTATCACATTTTTGACACATTCCTCACCAGTAAGCTGGTTGCCGTTGAGCCAAAGCGTCTGCAGCATGCTCAGGGCTCCTAGCTCCTTGGGGATGTGTCCTGTAGTAGAATGGTATTGGGAAACGGGAAGGGAATTACTCGCACATTACCTTTTTTCTAGATCATCGATCTCCGTAGATCTTGTCCCGCCCACGCATCGGCGAAGTTCATCCATGGACCAAGGCCAAAAATATTTGAAACGACTGTCAAAATAAAAGGTTACCTGTGAGCTGGTTGTCGTTGAGCGAAAGCGTCTGCAGCATGCTCAGGGCTCCTAGCTCCTTGGGAATGTGTCCTGCAATAGAATGGTATTGGGAAACGGGAAGGGAAGTATACTCGCACCTTTTCTTTTTTCTAGATCATCAATCTCCGCAGATCTTGATCCCGCCCACGCAGTTGGCGAGTAGGTGGTCTAGAAGCCGGGTAAATTGTTTTTTATTCCCCGCCAATTCTTACTTGCTCGTCTGCTTACAGGCCCCATCCCTCCGGAGCTAGGGAAGCTTAGGGCCCTTCAGCAACTGGTCCTATGGGGCAACAAACTGAGTGGTGAGTTTCTCAACCGCATGTTCAGCAATTTATATTGTCAGTTTCCATAGAACGTGTGTCCTGCCCAGGCGTGGGTGGGACACGATCTACGTAGATCGGCAAATGTACATGTTCTAGACACACTTTTTAAACTAAAAAAACTCACCACTGAGCTTGTTATGTCCAAGGTAGAGCTCTGTCAGGCTGCCAAGCTGTCCTAGCGACGCCGGGATTTCGCCTGCACGGTATTGGGTATGGAAATTGGGTTAGGGTTATGGAGATAAGTACGCCTTGTACGAGGTCTAGAACATGTGCATTTGCCGATCTACGTAGATCGTGTCCCACCCACGCGTGGGTGAGTAGGTGTTCTCGAAGGCGGGGAATTGTTTTTTTTTTCCGCTGATGTCGTTTTTGCTTTTCTGCTTGCAGGCCCCATCCCGCCGGAGCTGGGAGGTCTCCAAGAGCTGCGGGCGCTGTTGCTCAACGACAACCAGCTCACCGGTAACCTTTTAGTTTGACGGTCGTTTCAAATATTTTTGGCCTTGGTCCATGGATGAACTTCGCCGATGCGTGGGTGGGACAGAACCTACGAAGATTGAAGGAAGTAAACGGAGATCGAGAGGAATCAATAGACAATGACGCGCCTCACCGGTCAGCGCGTTGTCGCTGAGCCCAAGAGCCCCCAGCTTAGTGAGCGCTCCGAGTTGATGCGGAATAGGCCCTATACAAGCAGCGCAGCAGACAAAAAGCACTTTAACTCTGTAAAACAACCTTGGTGAATCTCCGTAGATCCTGTCACGCCCACGGCGTGGGCGGACGTGGGCGGGACACATGTCCTAGAACGTTGGGGGATTTCAATTGTCTCTTGCCGCTTCATTGTTTTATTTTCTCTTCCGCTTGCAGGTCCCATCCCGCCGGAGCTGGGAAAGCTCACAGCCCTGAAAGGGCTCTTCCTTTCGAGTAACAAGCTAACTGGTGAGTAATTATGTTCAAGTTGGCACGTTTAGGTATTTGTTCTAGAAATGTTTCAAGATCATCGATCTCCGTAGATCTCGTCCCACCCACTGGGTGGGACACATGTTCTAGAAACTCCAGTGAGCTTAATACGCCAAGTTTGTAGGAGACACTTACCGCTGAGCTGGTTTCTGTAGAGGTAAAGCGCTCGCAGCTCGCTGAGCTGTCCCAGAGACGCCGGGATTTCGCATGCATAGCAATAGGAAATGGGAAAAGTGTGCGTGATAATTTTTTGCTCTGGATATGTGATCTCCGTAGATGTTGTCCCGCCCACGCGTGGGCGGGACAACATCTACGGAGATCAATTATCTAGAAAAATGAAAGTCGGGTAATTCATTTTTATTCCTCGCGAATTCGCATTGCTCTTCTGCTTGCAGGCTCCATCCCGCCGGAGCTGGGAAAGCTTTCAGCACTCCGGGAGCTCTACCTTGACTTCAACCAACTAACTGGTGAGACATTGACAAAGTTTCAAAATGAATCCCGCCGATGCGTGGGTGGGACAAGATCTACGGAGTTCGATGATCTCGGAAAAAGACAGCATTGGCATCATGCACGTTTCGACAGAAATGGGGGATTTTCTTTTCGCAACGACTTCAAATTATACGCGAACTTTAGGCTGCAGGCCCCATCCTGCCGGAGCTGGGAAATCTCGCAGGACGGCAGATCCCTAGCCTTGGAGGCGACCAGCTACGTATCGCGGAGGCTAGTACGTGTTCGAGAAGCCGGCCGGGTAATTTTTGTTTTTTGCCCCGCCGACACTGCCGACGTCTAGAATATTTCCTTCCCGCAAGGTAGCGCACGGCTGCTTTTACACCACAAGGCATTTGCCACGTTTTCCCAGGCATGGCTGCGACAAACGAAAACGGGTGGATGTCAGCAAGGAAACCAACCACCAAGCCTACTGGGCCCGTGCGGAACGGGTTTGTCGTCGAGAATGCTCCTGAGTACAACATGCGCCGCATCAGAGCCCTGCAAAAGAAGAGATACCGAAGGTCCCCGGCGTACAAGAGGCACTTGAAAGCCAGGAAAAGCGATGTGCTGTACAGGTGGCGCGTGTTCAAGGAGCAAGCTAGGAGGCGAAACATTGCAGTGTCGATTAGCTTCGACGAATACAGCAGCTTTGTACGCACAGCCTGCTGGTACTGCGGGGAATTTACATACAAGGGGTACTCAGGCGTAGACCGTGTGCAGAACGCGGGAACGTACGAAAGAGACAATGTTGTGGCATGTTGTAAGACTTGCGACTTTATGAAAGGGCCACTGTCGGTCAAAGAGTTCTTGGGGAAGGTCAACGACATCGCAAGAGAGGTATTGGATAAGAATACCTTGGAGGTTGTTGGAAGACAGAAGTAGCTTCACCACGCGGCCCTGAGCGTCGACTTCGACTCCATACCATTGCGAGAGAGCGGCACTACTCTTCCAGTTTCGATTGTCCTTCCACTTAGCCCCACCGGTCGCGTTATTGAGGGCAACCAGTGCCTCACGGTCCGTCTGCGCCATTGTAGATGGGGCCTGGGGGAGTGCAGAGCTGGTGGACGGGAAGTTTGCGGGACAATTGCGAAAAATGGTGTCGACGTGGTACAAAAACAAAAATCGCTTTCTGTCGGCCGTCTTTCGCGGTTGAGCGGTGCTTCATACGACCTGTACATTAGGATGATCGCATCGCATCATTTGACTTAGGCCACGAATAATCTGTAGCTTTTGCACATCCTTCGTCAACGCTCTCCAGTGTGGCCACGTTCCTCTCGAAAAGAGGCTATCTACAGGTATGTTATACACACGTGCAACCCAAAGGAGCACGGAGCAACAGGCACGGGCAGGGAAGCCATCTCGTCAGGCAATGCGCCGAACTTCACCGGGGTGGCTCCGTGCGTTCCGATTCTCTCGACGTTTCTGCGGCGCGCACCGATGCCACAAAGCGCTGCGGCCGGGGAACACACTCTCACCCACCAAATGGGCGATGTTAGAACATCCATCACGGAAAACTACGCTAAAACAACACCGAACGCGACCCCAGAAAATAAAAAAAGGTGCGGAACTGAGCACCAAAATGCATGGGCAAACAAGTCAAGTTGTCAGGCCGCACACCGAACTTCACCGGGGTTGACGCGTGCACCCCATCTCGCAAACTCGTAAGCCACATGTCTGCACCGCGTGCGAGGGTCTCCCCCGCATGCTCTCACCTTTGCAGTTTGCAGAAGCCCGGTCGAAGCTGGATGCTGTTGTCCTTTTCGTTTGGCACCGCCTCTCTGTTTGTGTAGGTCCGCCCTCTTTGGGGGGTTGCAACGCGGTGGCAGCGCGCTATCGTTGGCTTTGCAAACCTCAAGGGGCCCCGTGAATTGTTGAGCGGGATGAACTGCTATCCCTGGCTTGCAAGCCCTCCGTCCACGGGGCACACGCGAATCATTTGTTACAATGAGACCATTAGCCCTACATTGTATAGCTTTGTAGGGACAAAGCTCAGTCCGGCCAATCTGTACAAGTCGTCCTCTAGTTCGATCCTCCCTCTGGGTCTGTTTGAGGATGAATCTGGTTGAGAACACAGCCCGATTTATGTTTGAGGTTGACTCCACAGTCATTATGGAAACATCTGCTTCATCTGAGATTGTTATTTGAATATATTTGAATAATCGAATGCAAGTACGCGAAACTATACGGAACCCTCCCATCTGCGCCGTGAAGAACTGTTGTCATGTTGTCACATTCGACGTGAGATACCACACCCCCTGGGCCACCCGCCCCCGGTGTTTGCCATCGGGGTTGGGTTTTCGTCGCTTGGCAACGACGTTGTACAACAAGCCAATTCACTTCGTGAACTCGGCAACCAGGTTACCGTTTTTTTTTTTTTCCTCCGTTTTTTTTTTTCGGCGGTAACCATAATGGTGGTCGAGTAGATCATGTTGTGCGGGGTGGAGAACCCTCACTCCGCGCAAGGGGGATGATCGCACCACGTTGTGTTAAAATGGTCAAGCACCCTCGAGGCAGTTACACAGTGCTTACAACTGTCTCTGGAAGTGAAAGCACCAGAAAATAAATTAATTCATACGCAGCTGTCATCCGTACGCAAGGAAGTAAGCACAAGATGCCGAACACCCTTAGCAGGATGCAGCGCACCCTTCATGCGACTCGCCGAATATCTCACGGCGCTTCGCGCTTGGTGATGTGAGAGCCTGGTCCGGTGAGAACCCGGCGTGCTCCGTCCCGGCTTTGTAGGGATGCGAGGTCAATGGTCTAACGACTACGGCATGCACGACTATGAGTACACCCCCCCCNCCCCCCCCTGGGCCAAATGTCCAAATTGTGATTTCTCCGAACCACGAAGAGTGACGAATACAGCCGACATGTCAAAAGAGAGCTTTTGGCAAGACGGTTTGAATGGTGCCACGTTGGAAATCACCACCATCGCCCTTGAAAAGAGATGCAATGGCCAAAAACATTACAGAGGTGCGGAATAGGCTCTAATTTCAAGTTATTTCAGGAACAGATCACAACCCGGCACACGCCAAATATATTGTACGATCAGGGCGTCATTTCAAAAAAGGTATATCTAAAGGCGAGTCCGTCCAATTTGTTTTTTTGAGGTGAAGCCCGAAGTCATGATACAAATATTCGCATCATCTCTGACAAGTGCATCCTTGGCAAGAGCAACAATAATAAACTTAAAACTCTTAACATCACATATTTAAAATTTCGAAATGTCACAGAATCGAGCACGCCGGATCCGCTGCCCACCACGTCCAAAAACTTCAGTCGGCGAACTACGCCCCCGCTACAATGCTCTGCTGTCTCCTCTGTCTCCATCTTCATCAACCTCGCCCTCTTCTTCATCTTCAGCGGCTCCGGAGGCTCCCGGATCTCCTCCATCTTGGCCTCCGTCTTGACCGTGAACGCGATCGCGCCGTCTTTGCCCTGGTCGTCGTCGTCGTCAGAAGGGCGCCTCTTTTTTCTGGATGCGTTAACCTAGACGTTTCGGGTCAAGAGAGAAAAAACGCAGACGTACAAGCCCGGAAAAAAGTTGTGCAAGTTGGCGGATCTCGAATTGATTTTAGGAGAGGGTGTGAATCCGGAAACGACAACTGCTCCGGTGCAGCAGCATTTGAATCACTCCACCACGTTGAAATTGCTCAGATCGTATGGAGCCGATGTCGCTCAATTTGCATGGAATGGATCAGTAGATGATATCCAAATCTCCAGCATGAAGGCAAACATTGAACGTTTGGAAGCTCAGTTGCTGGCATGCGGGCAGTCCCTCGAAATGTGCGAGTCTGAAAAGGCCTCGATGAGGTCTGAGATATATCGTCTAGAGGATAAGATCGCTGCTCTATCTCTCAGTTTGACACGGGTGCGCGGAGAATCCAGGAAAAAAAAAACCGTACCATCGATGGCTTAGTCAAGACCGACCTGGAGCAGACTATGATTTTGTTGAGGGTTGCTGTAGATGAAGGCCTCTTGAACACAAACAGCTTGAGGGCCGAGGTAGAACAACTGAGAGAAGAGGTTCGCATTCTGAGAGGAGCTGCACCTCCGGCAACCAATGAGAGGGACAGTCCCGAGCAGGAAGAAACAAAAGGTGCCGAAAGCAAAGTCGACGATTGGGATCTTGACACCCGCTTTGTCGGCTCCCCTTGAAACTGTTTGAAGACGAAACTAGGGACGCCCGCCCCAAAAACAAACGTTGATATGAGAAATACATTTGATGTGACCCACATGAGGGTACTTGTCTGGCGATTTAGGGAAGTCTTGCTGTAAATCTTCAAACGCCGGAGCGAACGTTAGGGATCCTCGGATAGAGGGGGGAGGGGATTTTGGAGAATATCGTTCGCGTCACACACACACGAAAAATGAAGCGACTCAGATATGCCCAAAAAATAAACAGATGTGCGCACGGAAGCCGCCTACTTTATCAACTTTTGCCTAATATAAGCTGTCTCGTCATCGCACATGCGCGGCTTCTCCGCCACGCCACACAACCGCCCCAAAAACAAACGCGCAAGCGCCAAAACAGACACACCGCATACACACACCTGGTGCTCCTGCTCCTGCTGCTGGCGCTCCCGTCGGCTCCTCCTGCTCCAGCTGCTGCTTTTACAGCTCTGACGATCTGACGCGCCTGTTCAGATACGTGAGGGGGGGGGGGGGGGNGGCGGTTCAGATTCTTTCACATTCTGGGTACCCTAGGCCGATCGGGGGTGGTGTATCGTAATAAAAAAAAAATTGGAAGAGGGGGGTGGTGCTTCTGCTGCTGCTGCTTAGCGCTGCTCTGGAAAAGCTTGCTGCTGGTACTGTCGCTGAAGGGTGGTACTGCTTCTGCGCCCTCGGGGCGACGCGCCCTGCTGTGACACGAGGCGTGAGCGCAAAACGTGGGGCGGGTTCAGGGTAAAACATCGTTGCGGTTACGTATAGGGATTCAATGTTAAAGCACATCACTGTCCGACATCAGTTTGTTTTGTTGCTATGGTGTAACAACCGCAATCAAGGAAACGACTTGCAGGGGTACGGCAAAATGCTACCAGACAACAGACAAGAGAAATGTCTTGCTCCCAACTCTTGGGTTATTTTTCTTCGCACCCACAAACGCCAGCTTCTCTGGACCACGTCAAGTTAAAAACGAACGTCGTAAGAAATCTCGTCGCGATCGCGGGCAACAACGTAACTACGAAACAAACGAAACCTGAGTACAAGAAACATATCCGCGCATGTTTTTACAAGCCCATGGACGAAGCCGAGCAACGATGTTGACATATTTTCAAAGAAAACATCCCTTGAACGCTGGAGGCAATGGGGGCAAAGTGTGCATCCACGGACATCGCCACCAAGGGAGAAAACCGTGCGGAAGGCTTACAAAGCTGTTCAATCCAGGAGCGCAAGGCGCTGGCCATGATAAAAAGGGCGGATGCGGCTGCCGGGCGCAGACGGGTATAGAAGAAGAAGGTTGCCGGTACGAAACGCAAGTCGCCACCGTGTGCTGTGGCTGCAGCTTCGATAAGGACCAAAGCAGCTAAGGCTACGGCTACGGCGGCCGGGCGCCAGGTAGACGTTCTAAATAATCAAGGGACCAGAAGCTTGCCGAAAAGGCTCGGACCATACATAGGGAGGAGTACCAGGAGGAGGAGGGTAATGTATACGTGTTGCGATTGTTCACAGCAAACTATAGAGACTAAACAAAGAGACAATGGGCACTCTCCCCAACATGCCATCGACTCTGAGCAAAGCCAGCGGTTCCGCCGATCCTACCATTGCTACGACCGACATCGACCGACGCTGTGGTGATACGAACCAGACACCGCTGATGGTGGCCTCCGTGATCGGTCCCTCGCGCGTTGTCAGAGACCTTCTGCGGCAGGGTGCCAGCGTCTCGGTAGCGGACAGCGACGGTTATACTGCTCTGCACCACGCGGTTTATCACAAACACCTGGCCGTGAGCAAAGACCTGATCGAGGCGGGAGCGGACCTTGAAGCGAGGCCTGGTGGCATAGATACACCACTTCACGTGGCCGCGACGAAAGGTTTTTACCAAGGAATGGTGGTGCTGATCGACGCAGGTGCGAACGTGGACAGCAGGCTCGACGACGGATCAACACCGCTGTTCGAAGCGGCAAAGGACGGGCGGCTCGAAGCGGTCAGGGTTCTCCTTCGGGCGAACGCGAATCCGCTCTTGTCAGCGTACGGAAGTCTCCCGTTATATATTATGGCGGTGTACAATGGACATCTGGAAGTGGTCCGCGAGCTTGTGTATTGGTACGGAATCGATCGCTGTACAAGCGACGGCGGCGCACTGGCTCTCGTAACAGCCGCTTCTCGCAAACACGTGGACATCGTCACCTTCCTGCGCGATGCCGGTGTGGTTGATACGGAGGGCGTGGCCCTGTGTGCCGCCATTNTATGGCGGTGTACAATGGACATCTGGAAGTGGTCCGCGAGCTTGTGTATTGGTACGGAATCGATCGCTGTACAAGCGACGGCGGCGCACTGGCTCTCGTAACAGCCGCTTCTCGCAAACACGTGGACATCGTCACCTTCCTGCGCGATGCCGGTGTGGTTGATACGGAGGGCGTGGCCCTGTGTGCCGCCATTGAGGGATGCAGCGAGGCGTGCGTGTACCTTCTGCTGCGAAGACAGGGGGGAAATGCCAACACAGGTACGCGTGCCTACGTCAATATGGACCACGGTACTCTCCCGGAAACCTATGACGAATTCGTGTTCCAAGAAACCCCGCTGGTGAGCACATTCAATCTGGGAAGCTTTCATGCTCCCGGATTCGCGCGCTTGCTACTCGAAGCCGGGGCGGACGCGACATCGGGCGTTCGGTTTCCGTGCGACAGTGATGAGGGGGAAGAAGACGAAGGGTTCATCGGCACGCCCCTGGACTTGGCTACATCATATTTTCGCAGATTCAGTTCAATGAGTGTCCACCGCGAGATGGTGCCGGAGCTGAAGGGTGTCATCCGCCTGCTGCGACAGGAGGAGGCAGTTCACTCGGTGTCCTGGACGTGGCCAATCGACAACGGTCGTTCTGTAGAGCGTGCGTCCCGAAAGAAACCAACATCGATCGCTCGCATGGTCCCGCTTCTGAAGCGGAGGGCGGCGAAGCCTCGTGTGCTCTTGGCGGCCCTGTCTAGGTGCGTGGTGATGTTGAACTATTCGGGCGTGTGTTGCGGCCAATAAAGGATTTAAAAGTAGTTGGCTGATGCTTTTACCCGCCCCGCGTCTTATCGACAGGTACAACGAAAAGCAGGATGGAGCCTTCCTCGGATACTTGCCGGAAAAAAGCACGGGAGTCTAATATGAGGATTGAACCCAGTTGTCACTTGGGCAAAGTCGAAAGAAGAGTTTCGCACGGCGGAGTGCTCCGCTGTATTGTTCCTCGGCGCGTGTAGGGTACTTTCTAGGGAGTTTCGCTGTTTACCGAGCTTGCTCTGTGGAACATCGATACAGGGGTTTGTGGCGTGTTTCAATTCTTCTTAGGAATAAAGGAAGGATCCCATGGCTTAGTCGGAGGTACTCAAAGTGGCTTGCTGTCCCGATAGCCGAAACGGATTGGCGGGGGGGGGGNTTGACCACGCGTCCTCGAGAGGACGGAGCATTGTTCCCACAGGACCGATCACCGATGGCCAATCGTTCCTTCCTACTTTGCCAAAGGTGGCTCAAAAATGTCTTCCCTAGTTTATCTATCCGACCGATATCCCTTCCCGCCTTTTCAAACCACTTCCTACTCCCCAGTACAGCTACCGTCTTCTCCTCTCTATTCCATGCCTCAAACATCTCCCTGTACCTCCCTTGTATTTTCGGATTGGCGGGGGCGGAAAAAAAGAGGGCCGGTCTAGAAGGATCTTGTTGCGATTGTTCACACAAAACGTAGGGAGTTGGAAAACGTGTTTGCGTGTCGCACAACAACCAGTACCGCCCTCAGACGCTTTGACACGAATCAAGTCATGAACACCATCGTGATCGACCCTTCCAGCGACCTTGTCAAAGGCTCCAAACATCCGCTACATCGAGTCTACGTGACAACAGTGCCGGTCGTTCTATCAAACGTACTCTCGAGCTCGAGAGAGTGCGAGCTTCTAGTGCTAACAAAGAGCGCAAGCGAAGGCACCGGCAGCCGCCACCGGAACAACAGCAGAAGCCTCGAGCACAACAACAGGAGCCCGATCAACGCGTGGAGGAGATCGAGACCAAGGCATCTATCAAGCAGACAGCTTCGTTCCGCGAACATTAGTCCGACGGCACGCTAGCTGTCGCTACTGCTGTAGCCCGACGCGTCACACGTAGATCCGGGGCACGGCGTTGCTACCCCTCAGTGTCACGCGTCAGTGCATGGAGGTGAATTTTCCATTGAGCATTGTTACGCTAGGTAGCCATGCCGGGCAGGTGGGAAACATGATGGAGGCTCAAAACACCCCTAAGTGTGCGCGGGTGCGGGCGACAACATCTCGATGAGGACCACGAGGTCCAATGGTGAAAAACTATGTCGCGAGAACGTGGTATCACGGAGTAGGCGATCCGTGAGGTAGCTCAGGCTTACTCTGCTTTTTGTTTTGGGTTTTTTGTCGCACTCTGGCGTAAGTGGTATATGGTGGCACGCGGGCAAGCATGAAAACATTTGCATTTTTTACGTGGCATGGCTGAGAAGGTGGTGACATGGCTTCCTTTGGAGCCATCCGTCGGCGTACGAATCGTCTTCATCATCGAGAAACCGCACACAGTCAAAACCGGCACGGAACGTGGAATCTTCCGTCACTTGCGGTACTCATCTAAATGGGGGGGGG